ATAACTAGTAGATGACCCCTTTTGATTTTAGGGTCACAAGGTCAAAGGTCAAGGTCACAGGGACCTTAAATGTCAGAATGGTCTCCACTCATTATCTTGGTTACATTTCATCACAAAGTCTTCATATTTCACATATAGATTGGTCATAATTAGCAGATGAACCCTTTTGATTTTGGGGTCACCAGGTCAAAGGTCAAAGTCTCAGGGCCTTTGAATGGTAGAGGATTTCAGCTCATAATCTTGAATGATAATTATCACAAAGTCTTCATATCTCACATAGTAATTGGTCATAACCAACAGATGATCCTTATTGCTTTTGGGGTCACTAGATCACACTAGGCCCTTAAATGTCAGAATTTAAGTTTCCGCTTACAATCTTGAAAACTATTCATCACAAAGTCTTTATATTTCTAATACTAGTAAGTGACCCCTATTGATTTTGTGGTCACTAGGTCAAAGGTCAAGGTCTAGGGGCCTTTAATGTTTCATTATCTTGAAAACTAATCGCAAAGTCTTACTTATTTTTCTTTTTTTCATACTTGAATACTTCAATGTACCCATTTGTGGCAAGTTTCTCTAACAAAATTACCAATAATGTGAGTCAAGGGCTAGAAAGGGGGCATATTTGTCGTTCGACATTTCTTGTTTTTCCATGTATTTGGATAAATTTCATATTCAGAAGTTCAAGTTTTTAATACTGAAGTGTGAACAGACTGTTTCTTTGGAAATATTTCAAATAGTGAAGTAAAAACTGACTTGGGGTTAGAATTTTCACTTTTTGAAAAAAAAAATGACATTTCAGGTATATGAATAAGTGATCAAGTAAAAAAATCACCAAAAAAGTGTTAAATATTTCTTGTTAAAAGTTTTTTAACATTATCGTGCATTATTCTATTCATTTCTTGGAAATTTGGACCAAAAAATTATGTAGCATTGCTAAACATAGCACATGATACAATATTAAAATCATACAGTAGAAAAAAACATATAAATCCAAATATTTAAAATGAGATCATAAAACAGCATAAAAGAGCACACTTTTATCATAAAAAATAATAGGATGTACTAGGGTAAAGTGATTGTAAGAAAGTCGGACACGATCGAAAGTCAAAGATTTTTAGCTTTTAATTAAATGTTGTAAAAATGTTTCTAACATGTAAACTAGTGCAGGCAAACCAACCTCAACATCTAAACCATAGTTGTCGTTCTTGTCAGAGTGGTTTACTTCCTGTCTTTCTAAATATTGTTACTATAAATAGTTCTTTCAGTACGAAATTTGAAATTCTGAATTCCAGAAAAGTAAGACTGGTCTTCCTATTTCAGTGGTTTAAAGTATTAAAAATGAAAGAGTGCGTATCAGGGTTTTTTATGCTCCCCGAAAAATTTCGGGGGAGCATATAGTCGGCGCCTTGTCCGTCTGTCCGTCTGTCCGAGCAAACATTTGATATTTATGAGCTTCATTCCGTATTTAAATAAAGAACAAAAACTCATAAAATTCAAATTAAGAGCTATTTTTTCGTTTTTATGAGCTAATTTTGCTTATGGACGTCCAGGTGGTGTTTATGAGCTGATTTAGTGCCTCATAAATGTCAATAGTTGGTACGTCCGTCTGTCCGTCCGTTGTCTTGTCCGGAGCATAACTTGAAAACCCTTGGAGATAATTTGTTGAACTTAGAATTTTCCTTAAGAAATCTATTTTTTACTGTCACTTATTTATTTCTAAAGGGATTAACTTCATACTTCAAATACATGTATCTTATCATCATCCAGATCTTATGTGACAAGGTTCATAACTCTAGCACCAATATTGCAAGAATGATCTCCCCATAGACTTAGATTATTTTACTAGAAAAATGTTATTGGCTCGACTTTTTTTTTTGACAAAAAAAAAGTAGAGGTATTGTTATAGTCGCGGCGGCGTTGCCGTTGCCCTTGCCGTTCCCGTCCGCAAACTTGTAACTGGATCATATTTTTTTCATTTCTTGGTGTATTGTCTTCATACTTGGCCACAACAACCCTTGGGACAAGACCTTTCAGTAGACCACACTAACCTTGAACTTCATCCATAAATGACCTTGACCTTCAAGGTTCAAAGTCCAAATTTTGCTTGTTCATGCTGTTATTGGCTGTAACTTTGTTATTTTTGAATGGATTGTCTTTAAACTTGAACATAATAATCTTCAAGGATATCCCTTAAAAATAACCAGACGGACCTTGACCTTCAGTCATAAATGACCTTGACTTTGAAGGTCAAATTATTTAAATTTTCATTTTTTTAGCTATTAATGGCTGTAACTTTGTTATTTTTGAATGGATTGTCTTGAAACTTCAACATAATAATCTTCAAGGATAACTCTTAAAAATAACCCAACAGACCTTGACCTTAACTCATTAATGACATTGTCTTTAAAGGTCAAATTATTGAAATTTTCATTGTTTTGGCTGTAACTGACTGTAACTTTGCTATTATTGAAGGGATCAACTTCATGTTATAACAGAACATTCTTAAGGACCAGACCGCACGGGTGTAGATTTTCCAAGGTTTTTGGCTCAAAATCCTTGGAAAAAAAACTCGGAGTATTGGAACAAGAAAATGCAAAACTTTGCTATTAAAAAAACCTTGGAAAAATAGGGAGAGGGTGAAAACCTTGTAAAGAGTTTTTTTTTTTAAATAAAACCTCAAAAAAAGTATGACCTCGGAGTATTGGAACGATTTCCAAGGATTTCAGAATAAAAACCTCGTAAAATATTTTCCGAGGATTTTTTTTTAGAAAACCTTGGAAAATGAGTGACCTTGGAGTATTGGAACAATTTCCATGGATTTTTAAAGTGTTTCCGTGGTTTGTTTTCCAAGGTTTTTAAATGAAAACATCGGAAAGTTTCTCACAACTGGGAATACTGTAATATTTTTTGAGGATTCTTACTTAAGGGCATCAGAGAATTTTCCAAGGTTTATTTGAGCAAAAACCTTGGAAATTTCTAGAATATCCATGGAAAATCAAAAAATATAACATCCAATGAAATATTCTGAAAAGAGCAATTATATTGTCCTTTTAAAGAATTAAGAAACTTCTTTATAATAATACAGAGCAAAAAATGATCACATGACTCACTGAAACATTTAATGTCAGTGTGAAGTAAATAGTTATGCACTACAAATGAAAAGTTAAGTTAGTAATAGTCTTTAATGGTAAATATTACAATCAATGTTCAGTTATAATTTTTTTGGTATCCAGCTATATTTAAATATATTCAAATATCAATTCCTATTCACTCTTCATGATTTTAAAGTGTCCCTTAGTTTTTCCCTCACCATCACAGGGGTCACATGTGGAAAATGCTCCAGGATACAATTCCTGAAATAAATTAAGTAAATATTTAATAAAGTACAGCCATTGAAAGAAGTTAAAAAACAATTATATAAAATCACCAACTGGGCGCTTCCCTCTCCATTGTGGTCAGGATCAAAGACTTCAAACTACTTGCCTTACAACATTGTATTTTTGACTCCTGAAGCCAGGATGGGCTTCTTCCCGCTGAGGGAGCTATCCAGCCCAGGATTAAGGAACACCTGTGGTTATACTCAGGACAGTACAGTATGTGTAGGCAATCAGAATTACATCATTTAATTTCTTTTTTATTAATCAATAAAAAAATGATATGTTCCTAACGTTTCCATAGACAAAAATATAAGTTCACTGTTGATATATATTGTTTTAAAAAATCAGCACTTTTGTGAAAAGAAAAGAAAGATAATAGTTAGATTCTGACATCTACCTGACGTCAGCTTATTACGTCAAAACAAACTTTCAAATCCAAATGTTTTTCCGACCGTCATCCGACGTCAGAATCTGACTTTGATCTGACGTCAGGGTGACGTCTTGTGTTTGCTGGGTTGTGAAAGGTTGCTCCTTCACAAAATAAAAACATCACCATGTAATCTGATATAATTATGTTGATATGACTTAAAATCCAAGACATTTTAAACATGCTTGTCCGCAAATATTCAGCATATAACCCCTCGTGTAATCCATTAAATGACTCAATTTGATACCACATGTTTGTAGGCAGTGTTCATAGAGACATAAGGATAAGTACAATAAAAGTTTTTTGTTTTTCTTTTACAAAAAAGAAAATAGGGCTGCTTTTGGACAGCAAATTCCCATTTTTGCTGTAAATAATTAATATATTGCTACAATATTGTATAGAATGTTCCTCAGAAATTGATGCAGTTAATCACCTCATATAAAACACTTTAATTAACAATTACTGTAACATAGTATTGGCTTGTTGCCATCATAATTTCCTTTCATATTCCAGTAAATGGTCTATATTGCTATAAAATAGGAATGCACCGTATGACATTAAAATGCAATGTTCTGTCTCTTGGCGAATCGAGTGTCGTACTAAACTTAAAGATTGCATTTTAATGTTCAAAGACTATTGACCTGAGGTACTTTTGAGAGTATATTGATATTAAAATAAATGAGATGTATAGGTAGTTCATGTGAAAGTGCAATCCATATTTATGGAGAACATCTCCTTATTTGAATTAGAACATTTTATCATTATTACTATAAGGAATTTTGATATTTAAAATAGTAACCAATTGTATAAAGAAAATGGAGTTTATTCAGACTGTATACAAATAGAAATAGATGTTGAACAATATTCAGAAATGATACAGTCATGGCTTGTGACTTCCAGTGGTCAACTTGTGTCATATTTGATGTAATGATGGCATACAGTAATTTCAGTCCTCAGTCTGTTAAATAATTACTTAAGTGCTTACGAGTTATATAAAACCTTACTAAGCAACATATTTAAATGCTATGACCAAGCAAACCTGTTTCATTAGTGTTATTAGTAACAGTGCTTTATAAACATTCTCCTTTCTATTTGGCATTATTATTATTATTATCAAGAGACAAATAAATATATTTACTGATTACAGACCGTCTAATATAGCTTTATTCCTATTAATATGACATATATTACAGGGACATATCATGTTATCAGATGTTGGCCTATGTACCAGCCCAAAGAAATGAACAGAATTCTACAAAGCTCTTTCTCGTGGCACAACTGAAGAATATTGTAAGTAGATTGATGTCTTATATACTTGATGTATTGGTACCTTTCATGGATAATTACCTTTGGAATGGGTTATTTGGTTCATAATTTGATCCTAAACCTCGGACCTGTTCACCCAGTGCAGAACACTACTATAAGTGATTTTATAATCGCCTGATGTTTATTTCGCAAAAACCCCTCCCCCGGATTATTTCGCATATTCATATATTCACGATGGCAGGGTCAGAAATTTATATTTGCGATTATTTGAATTTTATTTCCGCAATATTACAGGTAAGGTTGAAGTTAATTTCTATACTATGTCTCTCTTGTGCAAAGTAAATGTTTATGGTGTTAATAAGAGACAGTTTATATTTATTTATTTTATATACAAAATGTACCTACATACACGTCATTTCCTTATTTTGAACGATTTTTCTAATCGTTTGTCATTTTTGTTTGTTTGCAAATAGCGTGTTTGATACTGAATTTGAGGATGAAATATTTAATAGTCCTATAACTGACGAAGAAATTTTTGTTAAGCATACGTGCACTAGACGAAAACAAAAGCGCGGGTCAAGATGAAATGCCACCAGCCTCTTTCAAATATTCGAGTGACTTTATTCTCCAGATACTTGTTCACTTGTTTAATAGAATTTTTACATCATGAAATTTTCCAGAGTCTTGGAGTTCAGCAATAATCGTTCCAATACATAAAAAGGGTGACATAAATTGTCCTTCTAATTACCGTGGTATTTCATTACTTGACATTTTTATGCCCCCGCCATGTAATGGCCGGGGCATATAGTGTTACCCTGTTCCGTCATTCCGTCATCATCAGTTTCCGTTCCTTATCTTAGTAACTATTGCACACATTCAACTCAAATTTGACATATGGATATGTCATGAGAAAATACAGGTCAAGTTCGAATTTGGTCATGGTTTGATGATTTTTGGCAGAGTTATGCCCCTTTTACTTTGAAAATAATATGAAATTTTCAGTTTCCATTCATTATCTCCCCAACGGTACAATACATTCAACTCAAATTTAAGATATGGATAATGTTCATGAGAAAAAAAAAAAAAAAAAATACAGGTCAAGTTCGAATTTGGTCATGGTTGGGATGATTTTTGGCAGAGTTATGCCCCTTTTACTTTGAAAATGATATGAAATTTTAAGTTTCCGTTCATTATCTCCCATACAGTACAACACATTCAACTCAACTTGACATATGTATACGTCAAAGAATGCGCAGGGCAAGTTCAAATTTGGTCATGGTTCAATGATTTTTGGCAGAGTTATGCCCCTTTCACTTTGAAAATAATATGAAATTTTCAGTTTCCGTTCATTATCTCCCCAATGGTAAAACACATTTAACTGAAATTTGACATATGGATATATCATGAGAAAATACAGGTCAAGTTCGAATTTGGTCATGGTTGGATGATTTTTGGCAGAGTTATGCCCCTTTTACTTTGAAAATGATATGAAATTTTAAGTTTCCGTTCATTATCTCCCAACAGTACAACACATTCAACTCAAACTTGACATATGGATACGTCAAAGAATGCGCAGGTCAAGTTCAAATTTGGTCATGGTTCAATGATTTTTGGCAGAGTTATGCCCCTTTCACTTTGAAAATGATATGAAATTTTCAGTTTCTGTTTATTATCTCCCCAACGGTAAAACACATTCAACTCAAATTGACATATGGATATGTTTTTGGAATGCCCAGGCAAGTTCAAAGTTTTTGGTCATGGTTCAATAATTTTTGGCAGAGTAATGTCCTTTCACTTTGAAAAATAATATGAAATTTACAGTTTCTGTTCATTTATCTACCCATCAGTGTTACATATTCAACTCAAATTTGACATATGGATATGTCAAAGGAATGGGCAGGTCAAGTTGGAATTTGGTCATGGTTCGATGATTTTTTTTGCAGAGTTATGTCCCCTTTCACTTTGAAAATAATATAGATACAACTTAGGAATAAGCAGTTTAAGTTTGAATTTGGTCGTGCTTCAATGATTTTGGACAAACTTATCTTTCCTGAATGTTGGAAAATTTTTGAATTTTCAGTTTTTCAGCACTCATACTTTTGTGGAAATGTATGTAGCCATTATTTGGCTACAAATATGCAATATGCTATTTTCAAAAGGTTAAGACTGAAGAATTTCAGTGCCTTGAACATTGTATGAAAATGGTTTGTGTTAACATTGAAAAGTTTTAAGGGCTTTGAACTTAAATGAAAAAATACTTTGTGCAAACAAATTTGGAACTAAATATTATAACATCTGAAATTTTGGCTGCATGCGGGGGCATCCGTGGCATGATGACACATTTCTAGTTGGTATAATATTAACTAGCATCATTAAAAGGAGATTGACTTTTTGGTATAATATTTACTAGCATCATTATAAGGAGATTGACTTTTTATGCAAACGCTTTCGAAAAAATAGATGAGTGTCAGTCTGGTTTTCGTGCCAGTTACAATACCATTGACAATGCATTTGTACTGCAAACAATTATTTCAAAAGTTTTATCGCAAAAACGTGGTAAGCTTTAGTGGGTTTTATTGCTTTAAGGACCGCTTTGCTCGTAAAATCGTAAATAAATTATGGAAGTTTTAACGAATCAAATATTTAAGCTCACCTGTCACCTGGTGAGCTTTTGTGATCGCTTTTCGTCCGCCGTCCGTTGTCTGTCCGCCCTACCGGATAGGGATAGGGGGCCATCTAACTGTAAACAGAGAGAACAATAGAATTAATTCTGTAACAATAGAATAAGGGGCCATTGCCCTCTATTAAACAAAAGAAAATAACAATAGATATGGCCGTTTATCCCTATTCGGTGGGATGTCCGTCCATCTTGCGTAAACTTTTACTTTAAACAACATCTCCTCATAAACCACATAGCCAATTTCATCCAAACTTCACAGGAATGTTCCTTTGGTAGTCAACTTTAAAATTGTTCAAAGAATTTAATTCCAAGCAGAACTCTGGTTGCCATGGCAAGAGAAAGAAAAAACTTAAATATCTCCATTTAGAAAACCGTAAGAGCTAGAGCTTAAATATTTGGCATGAAACATCATCTAGTCACTGTCTACCAAGTTTGTTCAAATAAATGCCCTGGGGTCAAAACTGGCCCCTCCGGGGGGGATGGTCCTTGATTTTCCTTATTTGTATATTATAGTAAAAACTTAAAAAATCTTCTTTTAAAAAACCAAATAGCTAGAGGATAAAACATCTTCTATTGGGTGTCTACCAAGTTCATTCAAATAAAAGCCCTGGGGTCAAAATTGGCCCCACTCCAGAGGGTCATTTTTTCCCTTTATGTATATAGTAAAAACTTTAAAAAATCTTCTTTTGAAAAATCTTTAGAGCTAGAGCTGAAATATTTAGCATTGAAACAACTTCTAATGGGTGTCTACCATTTCTGTTCAAATAAGGACCCTAGAGTTAAAATTGGCCCCGCCCCAGGGATCATTGATTTCTCTTATATGTTTATAGTAAAAACTTAAAAATTCTTCTGTTTAAAAACCGTAAGAGCTAGAGTTTAGATATTAAGCATGAATTATCTTCTAGTGAGTGTTTTTTCTAGTGAACAGGCTCAATCAAACCGAGCCTGCAACATTTTCAATTTTGCCGTGTTGGGCTTTCTTTAGGGATTCTGTTTTTATCTATTTTACCAAGTTTGTTCAAATAAAAGCCCTGGGGACAAAATTGGCCCCGCCCAGAGGGGTAAGGTCATTGTTTTTCCCTGTATGTGTATAGTAAAAACTCAAAAGATCTTCTTAGAGCTAGAGCTTAGATATTTATCATGAAACATCTTCAAATAGCTGTCTACCAAGTTTGTTCAAATAAAAGCCCCTGGGTTAAATTGGCCCCACAACAGGGGCCTATAAACAGGTGAGCGATTTCAGGGCCATGATGGCCCTCGTGTTTAATGTATTGATGTCAATGTATGAGAGGCTCAAAGCTTGAGTTAGATGTAATGATGGAAATTCGGATTATCTTGATTGTTATATTGGTCTAAAACAGGGATGTTTGGCTTCCCCTCAGCTATTTTCCTTCTTTATTAATGAGTTAGTCCAAGATTTAAGAAATAGTGGAACGAGGGATATACAACTTTCTCCCAAGGATATTGATATCCTCTCACTGATGTTTGCCGATGATATAGCCCTTCTCTCCGATACAGTTAATGGTCTCCAAATACATTTAAATACATTACATCAGTTTTGTCAAAAAACAGGTTTAAGGGTGAACACCCAAAAGACAAGGGTCATGGTCTTTAAAAGAGGGGGCATCTTAGCAGCTTCAGAACATTGGCACTTTGCTGGTAATAAGCTCGAAGTTGTACAGTCGTTTACTTATGTTGGAGTTTCTTTTTATGCCCCCGCCATATAATGGCAGGGGCATATAGTGTTACCCTGTTCCGTCATTCCGTCATTCCGTCCTTCCGTCATCATCAGTTTCCGTTCATTATCTTAATAACCCTTGCACATATTGAACTCAAATTTGACATATGGATATGTCATGAGAAATACAGGTCAAGTTCGAAATTGTCATGGTTCGATGATTTTTGGAGAGTTATGCCCCTTTTACATTGAAAATAATATGAAATTTTCACTTTCCGTTCATTTCTCCCAAACGGTTCAAAAACATTCAATTCAAAATTGACATATGGATATGTCATGAGAAAATACAGGTCAGTTCGAATTGGTCATGGTTCGATGATTTTTGGCAGAGTTATGCCCCTTTTACTTTGAAAATAATATGAAATTTTCAGTTTCCGTTCATTATCTCCCCAACGGTACAACACATTCAACTCAAACTTGACATAATTTTTTTTATTGATATGTCATGAGAAAATACAGGTCAAGTTAAATTTGGTCATGGTTCGATGATTTTTTGGCAGAGTTATGCCCCTTTTACTTTGAAAATAATATGAAATTTTCAGTTTCCATTCATTCACTCCCCAATGGTACAACACATTCAACTCAAACTTGACATATGGATACGTCAAAG